AGTGTCACAACAGATACAGAAGGCAAATTCTACAGACCAACTGAGTATGAAGCCAAGTGTCTTACTGCATATTCATCTATTTACCGCCTTCAATTCTCCTCTTAATTCCTTTATTTTCAATATGATAATAGACTTTTCTCCCTGCAGACTCATTGTTACCATGAAATAGAATTTATCTACACCTGATGTGTTCGTATAACGTGTGAGGGCAGAATTCATCAAAACAATTGAGCTATGAGTAGGAGTATCACTTAGTTGGTTTTTGCCTCCTTTATTCTCGTCTTTCTGCATTTGAATTGTTAAGCAGGAGCTCTTCTGCAGTGTCAAAGAGTATCTTACAAAAGCTGTTGCCATAGCATTACACCTAGATATGTATTATTTTTATATCACTGGCACGATAAGTGGTTATTTATTTGTACTTAGGCTCATTTAATAGCTCTTAATTAGAAGAATGGCTGAGTTTGAGGAACAACTTAACTATTACAACTACTGCTCCCGTTGGGTTTGACAGAAGATCAGATAAAACTTTTTCAGATAACTTTTTTTTTTTTTCAGAATATGATAAGAACTCATTTTCTCGCTTCTTTCAAGAATCCCTACACTACTGCTGTAGTCGTCACACCAGCAATGCAACCTTCCTCTCCTCTTTTGAAACCCCTCCTAGAAATGAAACTTCGCCCTGAATACACTAGGGGAAGATCTTCCCATTTAATTACCCTCACGCTGAAAACAGGTAACAGAACTTTCTCTCATGCAGCACCACGGTCTTGGGTGGTGTGTGCTTTCTTCCCTTTTGTTGCTCTTGCCTTTCATATTCCTCAGCAGAGGTTTTAATGCTGGACTTTACTTGGCAGCTCTTTGGAGCAGAACTGTTGCAGAAAGGAGGAGGAGCACCTTAGCTGGGCTGTTGCCTTGAGACTCAGGTGATTTCCCTCTGTTCCTGGCTCCAAGGCTGACTTGGATGACCTTCAGCTCTTCCTGCCTATTGTCCTTATTTATAGAAAATGAGATATATCTCATTTTATAAAGTGCTTTGAAATCTACAGCTAGGTGGATTTTTCTGGTACCGTGTTGGAGGAATGCATAGGTAACAATGGGAAAGGGAAAGTTTTATTTTATCTCCTGTAATTATAGAGAATTTCAGCCATTGTATTTAGGTATTTATATATCTAAATTGCTTTATTCGGCTGAAAAGGAATTATGTATCTGAATGTTTCACATTAATTTTGTCCACTTTAAAATTCTGATTCCTTCCTGATCCTGTAGGATGCAGAAGTCGATACTGTGGCATATCATATAAAACCTTCCAAATTTTACAATATGTGACAATAAATCCTATATGCAATGTCTGCCCCCAAACCTGCTCTGTGTATTTTGTGAAAACATTACTTTTAACTGAAATACGCTTTCAGACGGAGATTTTTTTAGGGCTCTGCAGAATGTGGCTTGATGGCTTCATTCGGTACTTTAATATATTGTACAAATGCACTGAATTCATTGAAGTTACTGTTTTCATTTATAACAAATCTACTGACAAAAAGATCTGCCCCTAAAACTTTTGTGATTTTAACTTATTAAATATAACAAAAACGTAATAGCAAAGGTATTTTTTCTTTTCCAGTGGATGGAATGTACCATATGGTCTCCTTTACTAAAGATCTTCTATGAAGATTTGTTTTAAAAAAATCTTTCTCTTGCAGAAATGTTCTAAAAAAAACCCCCCTAATTCTCCTCTGAAGGTTTTTATTCCCCCAGAAGTATTTAAAACACTTTTTCTGTATCTCCTTAATTGAATGCAGCAGTATTTCAGTGCTACAAGCCAAAGTAAATCTTATTTCATTGTAAAACTACTACCTTGACACAACCAAAATAATAATAAAAAAAACCCTCGGGGGAAAAAAAAAGCCCTGAAGGCAGAAATTACTGCTTATGCAAGGATAGTGTTAGTGGTTGTGCCATTCCCTTTTAAATAATTCCTCTCTAATTGGTAACCCAATGTAATGGGTAAGTGAACATATTTCACAGCAGCAGCTGTTGGATGTTCAATGACTGGAAAATACAGTGATGGTTAAGTGTATGGAGTACTCATCCCATCAGTAAGAGTAAGTTAATCATATACAATTCACTGAACAGTAGAGTTGCATTTGCAGAGCAGTGGGCTGCCTTTTAATTGTTGTAGGTCTTTTTCAATATCTTGCAGTATCTTTTGTCTCAGCTGTAGCAGTTTTGGTTGCATCCCTAAAACTGTCAGTCTTCCTTATTTTTGCAAGGGCCTAACAATTCCTCCTTCACAATGCAGCTTAAATTGGACCAGATGCTGCATCAATAGAACAGTCTGCCTATCTCAGAGGCATTAAGCCCAAAATTATTTAGAAAATTGAAGCCTTTAACATACTCTGGATTAATGTGATTAAGTAGAGCTTGCTTTAATTCATAGCCATCTATTCCTTTATTAATAGCCATTTCATCAACAGGAGCAGCACATATGGGTACAAGATGACTGAAAGTTAAATTGATTGCTGTAAGCCTGTAAGAAAAGCATTTAATGTTTCAATAATAACTGATGTAAGACTTCACTGTGGGGCATTTTAGATAGATTTAGACCAGCTTATAGACACAGTATTTATTAACATCTTTTAATTTTTAATATAAGCTTGCTAAATGAAAGTCGTCTCTCTCTCTTTTTTTTTTTCTTTTCTTATTTTAATCCCTTAAGTCTGCATTTGATATACAAGATCAGTGCATTTATAAAGGAGAATCTCTCATGCGCATGATAACAGCTGGTCCAGGGCGTAGTGGAGTCGAGACTTGTGTCAGATTTAGGAAAAGATAAAATGTAACAGAAGTTAATTTTATGTGTGTGTATATACCCATGTATGCTCCAACGACACACATTTCTGATCCTACAATCATTACAGGTACTGAAAGGGTGTGTGCTAGCTCATGTATGACCTATAATACAGGGAACCAACCCATCACTCACACACTTAAACTCTATGTTTGGGGAGGATGGTCCTTACTTATTTCCCAACGCAGTAATTATATGTGTGCAAATGCACACATATGTGTAGGGAGAGGAGAGAGACATTTACAATATGACCCAGTGCCATGGAGTTGACCATTCCAGAAATTTAGAGTTGAAGAGATCTAATCCCAGACCTGGGAATGTTCCTTGACACTGTTTAATTTATTAGTATAGGCATAGTCTTAGATTCTGCTAAAGGAAGTGTCAAAGTTTCTTTGTATGTTCAGTCTCTGCTGTCTCCTCCAGAATTAGTCTTTAAATTTAAAATGGAGAATGAAAAGATCTGGCTGTAATTTATTACCATAATTACTGTCAAGGTGTAGAATCAGAAATGCTGGTTGGAAGGGACATGCCGAAGTCTTTACTCCGAACTCTCATCTGAAGCAGGACTGTCTTCAACACTCAACCAGGTCATCAGTGGCTATGTCTGGCTGAGTCGGGAAACGATCCAAGGATGGAGGTTACAGAAGTGCACAGGATAGCATGCTCCACTCCAGCACTGTCCTCCTGGTGACAAAGGTTCTCCTAATGTCCAGTCTGAACCTTCCAGGTTGCAGCTGATGGCCTTCACCACTTGCTGTCTATCACTGTTGAAGAAAGAATACTTTCTTTACATCGTCACTGTAATTGCCCGTCAAATATTTTTAGGTTGGAATTCCCTTTCCCTTTCCCTTTCCCTTTCCCTTTCCCTTTCCCTTTCCCTTTCCCTTTCCCTTTCCCTT